CTCTTTCTCCTCCTCCTCCTCCTCTTTCTCCTTGTCCTTGTGCTTGTCCTCCTCCTCCTTCTCCTTCTTCTCTTTCTTCTCCTTCTTCTCCTCCTTTCTTCTCCTCCTCCTTCTCCTCCTTCTCCTTCTCCTCCTCCTCCTTCTCTTTCTCCTTGTCCTTGTCCTTGTGCTTGTGCTTGTCCTTGTCCTCCTCCTCCTCCTTCTCTTTCTCCTTCTCCTTCTCCTTCTTCTTCTCCTTCTCCTCCTCCTTCTCCTTCTTCTTCTTTTCCTCCTTCTCCTTTTCCTCCTCCTTCTCCTCCTCCTTCTCCTCCTCCTCCTTCTTTTTCTCCTCCTCCTCCTCCTTCTCCTTCTCCTTTCCTCCTTCTTTCTTCTTCTCTTCTTCATGAGGCAAGGTCTCATAATGTAGTGTTGGCTGGCCTTGAACTATGTGGTGATTTTCCTGCTTCAGCTTTCAGAGTGGGGCGCTGGGATTACAGGCCTGTACCACCATACCTGGTTTGAATTGGCTTTAATGTGAGCAAATGAGGAGCCACTGGAAGGCTTTGAACAGAGGAATGTGTTAGAGCGGCTCTCTGGCTGTTGATTTGAAATAGCAGCACTACAGTGATGCATGAGGCAGTTTTGGCATGGTGCAGCACCAGCAGTGGATGAATTAAGAAATGCTTGGATTGTGAATGCATTCTGGAGGTAAAGCCAATAGGATTGGCTCATAGAGTGAGTGTAAATGTGAGACAGAAAAAAAGACACAAAGAATAGCTTCAGGGTTTTTGCTTTGTTTTCTTTTTTTGCGGGAGAGGTTGGTTTTGGCCTGAGTTAATTATAAGGATGATTGAAAAGTCAGATGTCAAATGCCATTACTTTAAAAAATTATTTGGAATTTAGGGAACTGATTCAGAAAATCAAAGTTCACTTGAGAATTACTAGAACCTAATAGTTAAGAGGAAGAAGAAAAAAGAACTTAATAGGATTTAAAACTGATTGATTAAGATCCTCGAGAAGTAAATGTAGAAAGAGAAAATACTCAAGGGCTGAGTCCTAGAGCATTCAGACATTTACATGGTGAGGACTAGAAGGCCACAGAGAAGATCAGGATCAAGGAAAACCAGGAGAGTTCTCCTGAAGCCAAGACAGCAAAGTGCTTTTAAGGAGTAAGGAATTGTGTGTGGCTCTGCTAACAGGTCAGGTAGACTGAGATTTGATCTATGGGGTTATTGGTAACTTGGAGGAGTGCAGTTTTAGTGAAAATGTAAGCATGGAAACATGATTCAAGTTAGTTCAAGAGGGGATATGATGAGAGCAGTTGGTAATGGTAACTACAGAAGTCTTTCTGAGAACAAATAATGAGAAGTATGATTAAAAGTTTTGTTGGGCTGGTAGATGGCTCAGTGGTCTGAAGCACCTACTTAGAACAAGCTTAGCAAAGCACAGGGACCACGGTTCAATCCCCCAGCACCACATGCCAGCCAGCCCCGCCCCCTGGTGGGCTGAGCTGGCCACACACACACACACACACACACACACACACACACACACACAAATAAATTTAAAAAAAATAAAAACACCACATCTTTTAAAAAAAAAAAGTTTTGTTGTTGTGAACATTTGGTGAAATAACATTTTTGTATGCAGTTGGGAATAATCTATAAGAAGGCACAAAAGACTGCTAGTATGATACCTGAGCATTTGAGAGGGAACAGAATTTAATTCATAAGCTGAGGTTTGGTTTTAACTAGGCACAAGCAGATAGTTAAGAAGGAAAGTTAAGTATAGATGTTAGTAGAGCATTATCTTATGACCTCACAGATAGTCTGATACAAGTAAGGCTGTCATCAGCTGCAAGTGCATATAGGCTGCAGTGTTGAAGTTGGAGTAGGTAGAGGTTTGAGTAGTGCAGAAGAGGGCCACAGTAAATTGTCTAAGTTTAAATTTGATTTTCTGGGTAACAGATATTTGAGGTTTGCAGGCTTGTTTAAAATGAGACCAGTAAATATGACTAAGTTTTCCGCTATCCTTTCTTAAATGCATAGGTGCTTGTAGGGAATAAACCAGGGGTTAGATTTGATCTAGATTATGGTTTTTTGCCAAATAGATGAAATGACAGAAAGACAAAGAAGTTAAGGGTAAGTGCGAAGGGGTAGCTGTGATCAGCTCTAAAATTTAAGCTCATTAATCAGAGAAAACTAATTTGACTGGTATGAGGAGGTGTGAAGTACTGGATAGATCTTGTTAGGATAGTGGATTTGAGAGGATGATCTGGAAAAACAAGTGTTCAAAAATTGGCACACCTGCGCCAGAGAGCTAGCTTAGTGGCACAAGCGCCTGCCTGGCAAGCACAAGATCCTGAGTTCAATTCCTGGTACAAAAAAATTGGCACACTTGAAAATAGATTTTGATGAGTTTCAGTAATTGGTACTAAAAGGTATTTTTACATATATTCTCTTATTTAATCCTTTAATCCATAGCAAACACTATGGGACTTATTCAGTGGGGCTTCTAAAGAACCCATCTAACCACTACCCAAAAGATTGTAGTCATATTATTATGTTTCAAAGATAGTGACATACTGTGATAAAGAAAAACAGAATTTTCTGAGGGTACTTAGGGTAGAGATGGAGTATACAGAATAGTCCTTATACAGCCTAGGAGAAAATGTGGGCGCAAATGAGATTATGCATATTAAAACATGTATTATCAGTGAGATAGAATTTCAGAGAGGAAGAAATGCTTGTGTACTTTGAGAAAATGATGATCCTTCTCTAGAAAATACACACAAGTGTAATACGATTTCAGAGGTTTTTTTTTTTTTTTTTTTTTTTTTTTTTCAGTAGTGTCTGCCATGGCTGCACAGGACCCATGTTCTACAGCATGGTTTATTTGATCAAGTTACCTGCTTGTTTTTAATGCATTGCCTTGCCATTCCAGGAAGTTATAGTAGAAACTATTCACTTTTTTAAAATGACATTTCATTTAATAAAACCTATACAGATTTCTAAGGCATACTTGTTAAAGCCTAATCACTACCAGTTTTGTCTAATATTTGACATTAAACAGTTGTTTTTTCTCCTCTATCACACACCTTAAATACTGTTACTTCCTTTATGTGTGAAGGAGACTCACTTCCACATTCAAAAACACTAAATTTTAAAGAGTTAGGATGTAAATCAGAATAAAATACAAACAATACTTTTCTAGTTGACAAACCTATGTTTATGCCTTTAAAGCCTACAGAAAAGATGTCAAGGAATGTAAATTGTGACCAAATCTATTATGTTTCAACATGCTGACTTAAAGAGTAAGGCAGCTCTGTTTTTTTGTATTTTAAATTTATAGTAACCAGAAACAGAATTTTTAAGCCTGGCTGACACTTCATGTGTAATCTTAACAAATATGTGCCCACTTTGTGGCAGCATCACCAGATCTCCAGACTTCCAGGCCAGTAACCTATTGTCCTCTTCCTGTCCCTGCCCTGAGTACTGGCAGTACACGTCTCCCTGTTAGGCGCTGTGTGACACGGTCCATCTGTCCATCTGCCCGTAGGTCACCGTCTCCTTGGCGAGCTCTGCCCCCAGACTCCTGGGGCCTTGGTTGGTGTCCAGGGCAGCACTGGCACTGAGCAGAGCGTATGTGTTGCTGGGCAGAAGTTGCCGAGGCCGTCCTGATGCTTAGGCCTCCTTGAGCCTTGCTGCCCCTGTGCTAGGAGGGACCGTGGCCCAGGTCCTCAGTCAAAAGCCTGCCGCTTAGTTTTGTCTACAGTGGGCAGATGGTGCCTTAGAGATGTTTCTAAAACCTGCTTCCTCAGCATGATAGAGATGTAAAGAATGGAAGGAAGGCAGCAGAAGACGATAAAAAGGAAACATGCATACAAGATGCTGCTCTAATCATTACTGAACCCTCATGTCTTCATTGCAAGATTTAAAAAGGCATTCTTTTCTTCTCTGTAACAGTCAGCTCTTGCTTCTCTTTTCTTTTGTTAAAGCTCCTGTCCAAGAAGTTAGTCTGCAGTCATCAGTTTTCCTTCCCTTCAAACAAAAGATTCAACACCAGCAGGAAAAGCAAACACAGCTGCACAATTTAACTTATGGTAAAGTGTCCTTCTGTTTGTTTTTGTTGTTGTTATTTGTTTGTTATGTATTTAGTACAGAGTCGACAGAGTCTCACTACATAGATTGGACTCAGTAATCTGCCTGTGTTCAGCCTCCCAAGAGCTGGGATTTTAGGCATGCTCCACCATGTCCAGTCTTAATCCTTGTCTCAGCGCACCCCGGGGGATCTGCCTAAACAAGCACTTTAACCTGGCCTCTGTTTGTTTTTTAGTTTCCCAGTTGGGGCAGTAAACATTGGTGATGGAAAAAAGTGTGAATTATTTAAAAGCCAGAGGCACTCAGTGAAAGACTGGGCAGGAGGGTAGAGCATTCTTAATTGAAAGATTTTTTTTTATTTCTTTTTAATATAAGCATTTTTCATGACTTTTATTTCTCTTCTAATATCATATAATCCTTTTATAAATTTTGTTTTGTATCTTTTGCAGAACTTTCAGCTCTGAGTGAAGAACGTGAATGTGTTTTGCCTACAAGAGTCTCAAACAAAGACTTGGCTAGAGCTCAGTTGACTAAACAGATTCATCACTCAAAGGAGAACATAGTTGAAATCACGAAGTCCAAAAAGGACGCAGCCATTTTAGAAGGTGTTCATTCTGCCTATGAGAAATCTCAGGATACTGATGTAGAAACTTCTAGTCCTACTAATTGTATTCTTGTTAAAAGTGGCAGTGAGGGAATAGTTTCTAATAGTGATATGATAATAGATGGCACTTCACAAGGGGAAAATGGGGAACAAAATGAAAAAACAGTGTCTGCAGAGACCAGTCTTCCCAGCCCCATGGAAGATACGTGTAGAATTGTACTTGCAAGTCCAAGACTTCATTTAACAATACCTCGGAGGTCAAAAAGAAATATTTCAAAGCTTTCTCCTCCAAGTTTATTTCAAGCTATTACACAAGAAGTTAAAAAAAATAAGGTAAGAAAACAGTTTTGTTTTTTGGATTTTTGAGACAGCACCTCACTGTGTGAGGCTGGACTCAAACTCTTAGGTATCCTCCTTCCTCTTCTAATCTGAGATGCAGGAATGTGCCGCAGCACCTGGCAAGGTAGGCAAATTTGAGCTTGTTTGTTTGTTTTGGAGACAGGGTCTTATTATGTAGTTCATGCTAGCCTAGAACTCATGTAGCCCAGGCTAGACTGACCTTGCAGTGGTCCTCCTGCTTGTCTCCCCTTGCTTGGATCACAGGCAAGCCCTGCCATACTCATGGTAGCAAAACTCACTGTTAAGCCGCATACTCTTAGCTCTGACTCTCCTTGTTCAGGATCAGTCTCCTCCAGGACCCTTCCCTGAACCTCACCATCGGTACTCGACCCCACGAAGCCAGCCTTTAGCCCATCCACTCTCAGGCCTCCTTTTCTCTTCCACCCTGTGCAGGCCCCGTGCAACCTCACCGTGTCCTTTACAGTGATAACCTGCAACTGATTTTCTGTAACTTCTCATATGAGAAAACACCAAGCCTTCACCAGAATTTGCAGGGCCCACATCATTTGTGCTGGAGAGAGATCCCCAGCCTCGTTTCTCAACCTCTTCCTCTCCACTAGTTGGGGCATTTGCACATGTGCTCTGCTTAGAAAAATTTTAGCGTGTGGCCCATCACTTTATTCATTTCTCTGCCCCAAGACCTTTCTTGATGTCCTATCTTAAGCACCCTAGTTATGTTCTCTTAAGCTTATTTTTTGTAGTAATTTTCACCTGCAGACATTTTGATAAGTGGTTGTCTGTTCGAATACTTCTGCCCTGCCTGCCTCTGCTTCCCCCATGACATAACATGGGCATACTTACTCCCCCAGGGCCACTGTTTCATTACTCACTGAATCCTCATTCTAGAACAGTGAACATTTACTGAATAAATAACAAATGGGTTTTTGAGTGTGGTACAGAACTCTAGGGCAGAACTCCCGGGTTGTAACTCATCTGTGCCACACACACAATCATACAGCTTCTACTAACTGCTCAGCATCTTGATTCCTGCATCTCTACCTTTTCTCCTACCCTCGCCCTCCAGCCTGCCATGCCCATACCTTATCAGTAGTAGTGAGCACTGCACCAGATTCTCACTGTCAAGCATACTCTTGCTGCCAGCTCCTCTTGTTTGAGATCATTTCATCCAGTAACCTGGCAAGTTACTTCACTAGGCATCATGTGCACTGCCTCCTTAGCTCCTGGCTTTGCGAGGACAATACGAGTTGACAGCCTAGATGCTATAGACATGTAATGTTAGTTTTTATTTTAATACTGTCTCCCCCTGACTATGCTGTGCTGTATCTTAGGTAATTCCAAATGTGCAGAGTAGGAAAAAATGATTATTGTGGTCTCTTCCCCACATTTTACCTATAAAATTTTAAATGAACACAACTGAGAAGAGCAATAGTACAGTCCTCCTATTTTAATATATTTTCCTAATTGAGTATATAAAACCACAGTGGAGAATTCGTCTTTATATATAAATGTATAATTGTATATAAAGTAAATGGCCAAACTAGTTACTATATGAATCTTGATTTTAGTTCTCATCAGTAGTTCAGCTTTAAATTGTTATGAAATACTTTTTTGTGTAGATATTCATAGAAATTTTTCCGTTTGAATATACTACTATAGTTTTTTGAGCTATTCAATATTTGCTTTGAAATACAGTGCTATCAATGTATATTACTATAGTTGCCTTTAAAAAAAATCAAAACGTAACTCAATTGAAATTTATATTTAAGGGGCTGGTGAGATGGCTCAGTGGTCAAAGGCACCTACTTAGAACAAGCTTCGCTAAAGCACAGGGACCGCGGTTCAATCCCCCAGCACCACATGCCAGCCAGCCCCGCCCCCTGGTGGGCTGAGCTGGCCGCGCACACACACACATAAATAAAAAAATAAAAAATGTTTTTAGCGCCAAGGATGGTAGGACACAACTCAGTTGACTTTTTCTCTAAGTTATTGAGTCTTTTGCAGAGTATGTTTTATGATTTTGTGTGTGTGTGTGTGTGTGTGTGTGTGTGTGTGAGGGGTGAGGCTAGTGGGGCTGGCAGGACATCTGGTGCCAGGGATCGAACTGTGGTCCCTGTGCACTTGCCTAAGCTTGCATAAGTAGGTGCTGTAGACCGCTGAGCTATCTCACCAACACAGAATTTGTTTTATGCAACTCCCCGTAACACACACACTGCGGTTGAAGTAGGGCTTTTTGGGGGTGGGTTCTTTACAGAGTATCTCCATATAGCCCAGGCTGGCCTTGAACTCACAGCAGTCCTCCAGTCTTGGCTGCCCAGTGCTGCGATTACAGGCGTGTGCTACCACATCGACTTTTGTTACTGAGATAGTAGATGTAAGAATTTTAATATGCAATTTCTTTCGGATTATAAGACAAACTTTGAAAAGGCAGACTATGCAGTACAAACTCAATTCAGTTTCTTTTTTTGTATTATTTGTTTCATTATAAACAAGAATTTTAACAGTTGCTGCTTAATAACTAATTTTATAGATGAGTACTAAGGAATCACTAGGATTACTTAGATGATCTTTTTCTTGAAATTTAATTTTGTAATGTGTATACTACGGACAGTACAACGAATTGTTCTTTTATGATGCTTAGGTGATCCAGCTACAGGAGTGGATGATTAAAGTCATCAATGATAACACTGCTATATGTGTAGAGGGAAAACTGACGTAAGTGACATTTCAATATTCTTGTATTAAAACTTGAGAAAATAAAAAGATCTGAGAAGATTGTGTATGAAAGCTTAAAGGTGATACATGAGAAACAGCATCTTCCTACAAAAGAAACACCTCAGGAGGTGATGAACTGTAGGTCAGAAGGACTATGTGGGAGCCAGGCGTGGGGCACACGCCTGTAACCTCAGCTATCAGGAGGCTGAGGCAGGAGAACTGCTGCGAGTTCAAGTCAGTCAGGGCTACATAATGAGTCTGAGACCGTGTCTCAGAAAGACTATGCAGGCCCTCATCATGTTGATGGTCACCAATGTTTTTGTTTTTGTCTGTTTTTTCGGATTATTTTCTAAAGTAGTGACAGGCCAGATTTACAGAGTGCTTCTTTTTTTCTGAGGTGCTAATGTGTGGACTGCTATCTGCTTGATTATGTATAATTGATTGCTCTTACGCATTTTAGCCCACGTGGTCGCATATGAATGGAGCAACTAGATAAAAGCTGCTGATGCAGAGAAGGAGCTGAAATGACTGAAAATTTTCCCATGTCGTAAAATTAACACTGGTTCTCCCGAAGATGAGAGCTTCCGCAGGTAGGCGGGCTTTGCTGGTCCTGCCTACCTTAAGGTACTTAAGTGGAAGCTTTCAAAGCTGAGACTGTGAATGAAGTCTGAGTGGTGCCCATTTCTTCACATGTAGGATGCAGGAAGACCATGCCCCACTGCTGCTGGCTGCCAGTATCCCGCGCACAGGTTATAGCTCACCTTCAGTCTCACGTTTTTTGTCTCTACAGTGAGAATAATACATGACCTACCTTGGAGGTAGTCTTGAGAATTAAGTGACTTTTTAAATTTTTTTTTAGGACAAAGTCTCATTATTTAGTTCAGCTTGGCCTTGAGATTGCAGCAACCCTCCTGCCTCAGCCTCCTCAGGGCTGGGATTATAGGTGTGTACCATCACACTGGGAAAGAATACTAGCAAGCACTACTTTTAGGAGATTATTTAACTGTTAAGCAAAATTAGAAGGAATGGAGGAGAAACTGTTGAAGTGTAATATACTATGAATTGAGTATAACATGTAAGCCTGTTTGAATTAAAAGAATTTAGTTTATTATGTATGTAAGTAGTATTTATTATTGAATGAATAAATGATGCTTATTTAATACATTTTTAAAAATATCCATGCTTTGCTTCATTTAGAAAAATATAGAAAGTAGATTTATGGATCAGTCATTTGCTGCTGTAGTCCTCTCCCCTCCAATTTGAGGCCTTAGGCCTCTTTTGCTGCCTTTTTTTTTTCTTTTGAGACAGGATCTCACTATGTAGTTCAGGTTGCCCTTGAACTCACTATGTAGCCCAGGCTGGCCTTGAATTAACTGCAGTCTGTCCTGCCTCCCTAGCCTCCAAGTACTGGAATTACAGGCGTGGGCTACCACACCTGGCTTTGCTTTTTTTTTTTTTTTTTTTTCCTAATGAAAGGTAAAAACATGTGACAGTGTACTGAGGTTAAAAAAAATCATAACATTAGATGGATCTAATGTATATTTCTGAGCCATGCTTGGGAGCAGGCGCCTGTACACCCAGCTGCCTGGAAGGCTGAAGTAGGCAGCTTCAGAGCTCTGTGCAGCCTGGGTGGAGAGCAAGGCCTCCATTTCTGCAGGAAAGCCCACACAGTACCAAACCTGAGGCAGAGGGCCACAGAAGACGTGCCGTCAGTGGACTGTAGCCACACACACTGCTAGCGCCAGATGTTTAGCAAAGCCTACTTCCACGTTCATGGTATATTTTATATTGGAAGCATGGTTTATCCACAGTACAGTTTCTCAGCATGAACCGTTTGAGGCCCTCCAACATTTTGTACTTGTACTTATAATAGGATTGTTGTCACTGGTATAGCAGGAATTGCAAAAATACTGCCTTGCTTTTCTTTTTTAACTTTAGGTTAGAGCAGAATATATTTATTGGAGGAAAGAAAGCTTCTGTCTGAGAGAGGGACAGAAGGATAGAAGGGGACCCGAGTGGGTTGCCCCACTACTTTGTATTATAAATCTGTATATTGTACTTAGGTATGTACACTGTGACTCCTGATAAGATGTGAGTAATTTGACCTTCACCAAGCTATTTTTCCCCCTAGAGACATGCCACACGTATACTGGCATAGTAACGTAATTGTAGAGCGGCTGAAGCACAATGAACTTAGGACTTCATCAGGCAACATTTATATATTGAAAGGATTGATAGACCAGATTTCCATGAAGGAAGCAGGTAAATGAGTATTATCATTATTAATTGATGAATTATTTTTTTTAATCTTTTATTTACTTGGTACAGGGTCTTACTATGCAGCTTGGACTTGTAGTGCTGGGACTTGTGATCCTCCTGTCTCCCCCTCCCCAGCACTGGGATTATAGGCGTGCACCACCACTCCTGGTTTCGATGGCCAGCACTGTGCACCCCAGGTTCCAAGACTGGCAGGGCATGTGGTACTGGGGATCAAACCCTGTCCTTGGCGCTTGCCAGACAGGCACTTAGACTGTCGAGCTATCTTTCCAGCCTGATAAATTATTAATAAGTAAAGCATTTAGCTATATTTCTAACAGTAAAAAATATATGTATGTGTGTTTGACTTTAATTATAAATTTTTAAATGAATAAAGGAAAACAGTTACATGTATAACTTGAGTACTGATCTCTTTGCTCTCATTCCTCTACAGCCTTATTAAATTTTGTCATAAGCAACAAGTGGCGGGCCAGGGATCTAGCTCAGTGGCACAAGTGCCTGCCTGGCATGTGCAAGGTCCTAAGTTTGATTCCTGGTACCAAAAAAAGAAAAACCAAGTGTGTTACTCTATATATAAGGAATTACTTTATAAGAATATAATTTAACTTCCTGGTTCCTGTCTTTATTGAACCTAGCTGGGACATCCCCAGTCTTGGTAAACTAATTTTCTACTTGTGCATTGTACATAACTGAATGTAGTCTACTCTGAACTTACAACTATTAGCAACGCGTCCCTTAGTGGTCCCCTGGTACTGCTTGGTACCCTACTGTTTTCCTGATGTGTTTACTCCTGTCCTCCCTGATGACTATACCAGATTTTTGGAAGTGTCTGCTGTCTCTTCCCCAATATTTTCTCAGGTTTGATGAGAGGTGAAAAGGACTGAATGGTAGAAACAGCCAGAAGAGGACTGTGTCACACCCACTCATCCACTTGCATCCACGTCTGCTTTTATTATGGCAGTGCTGTCCATATTCCTGTGTTTCAGCGTCTCCATTTGTACATTGCTTCCTGTTTTTCTTTTATTCAAGGTCATCCTCCAGTAATTTTCTGTTTCAGAAACTTTTTTTTTAATCTATACTTTCAGCCACTGCTCTCATATACAGCAAAACTCAGATGATTTATCTTACTCCTATTTGATTTCTCTTAAATTCTTCTTGGTATTTTTACTCTTTGATCATCCTTTATCCCCCAGTTCTCATGAATACAACCTGTATCAAAGTTCCCTGTGGGCTCAACGCTGCTAAGTCCACTGGACACCTAACAGTCAGTCCACATACCTCCTAGGCTTTATGTTCCATGTACTCATCTGATGTCTCCACCAGAATGTCTGTGAGGGCTGATACATAGAATGACTGACGTCCCTTCAGTCTGCTCGGCCTAATCTCACCGTTTTCCCCCTGTCTTCTAGTGGCCAGCCAAAATCCTTAATTGCCAAAAAAAGAAAAACCAAGTGTGTTACTCTTGGTTTCGAAGCCTTAATTGCCCTCATACCCACAGCTAGCATTTTAGTATATCCCACTGGCGTTACCTCTAGAATGCTGTACTCGGTGGTCCACCTACCAAGGAAGAGTAAATAAAATCTGAAGGATGAAATAGATACTGTGAAAAGGAAATGCGTCAGTCCAAAAGGAAAGAATCACTGAGACAAGAAGGCCAGGAGACAGAGGGCGGGAAAGAGATAGTTCTATGTTGCCAGGCAGGATGGCTTGGATAGTTACACTGTGGATCTCTGCTGGTCTGTGGAAAGGAGCAGTTAATGCTTAACTTCTTTTTCATTTTTCTTCTTAATGTCTTATAACTTTTTCTTTTGAAGAGAACACTATGTGCTGCAACACTGTCAAATTCATATATTTAGTGAAATTATGTATCATTTCTAATGTTCTTATTACTATTTTGTAGTTTCTTTTTAAAAACCCTGTTTGCATTTACATTATTTAAATTATTGTATTTTATTTCTGTTTTTAGAAAAGACTTTGCTTTTTTTGCATAGAAGACAAATTCTGTATAGGCATGGATCTTTAATTTGTTAACTGCTAAATTCTGAGTGTGTATGACAATGTCTGGCACAGAGTAAACAAGTATATATATATATATTTATATATATTATTTTTTCTTGACTGATTAATGAATTAATGATATCTAAAATTCTAAGCTTTCAATTTTTTTTTTGTTTGTTTGTTTATCGTTAACTAGGATATCCGTATTATCTCACAAGAAAATTCATGTTTGGATTTCCAAAAAATTGGAAAGTTTATATTGCTGATTTTCTAGAACAATTAAGGTAAAGTGTTCTTCTTAAGTTTTTAAAATCAATTGTATAGTATAATTGATATTGAATTAAAAAAATACCTATTTTAGACGCAAAGTGTTGCGAACCTTTATAAACATGCACTCATGTGAACCAGTATAAAATGGTTTCAGTTCGTTTTGAGAAGGGGATGCAAGTTTTGAAGATGAGTTTCAGAAATAATGACACTTAACTAGGATTTTTGTCATGTTAAGTAAATCTAAATGGAAAGTAAACCTCTGGTGTATTTCAAGGAGTTTCCTTCAGTCACCTACTTGTTGAACACAATATAGCTGTCAGTCGTAGGCTGACGTTCTTGGGGTGGTTTTTTTTTTTCCTTGATTCTCATTGGTTATTGTCTACTGCTTAGCAGACTCCACGATTGGCACTGGGAAGATAATTCAAATAATTCTTGTCTTTTGGAAGTTGGGAGCAGATGCAGAGGTTAATCACACAACAAATAAGTTACAATGGGGGCTGGCAGCTTGTTTCTGCAAAGGGCCAGATAGTATTCTGTGGACATGCTACATGTTATTCCAGCCACTCCTGCCTTTGTAGCAGCAAAGCAGCTCTGAGTAGTATGTAAGTGAGCAAGCCTGCCTACGTTTCCGTAAACTTTTTTTTTTCTTCTGGCTGGCTGAGGCTCCCTTAAGGGCAGGTCTGGTAATGCAGGTGGAGGTGGGGATCAAACCAAGGTATCCTGCGCCTGACTGTGTTTGCATGAGCAGGTGCTTAAACAACTGAGCTAACTGGCAGGCCCCCTCATGTACAATATTAGAGAAGAATAATGTTTCTGAAACATTATTTCAGAGGAAAAAAACTTATTTTTAGGGCCGATGAAGGGAAAAGGAAAAAGGCCAGAGAAAAACAGAAAACCACAAGCTCTGTTTCTAACTTAGCAAAGTCAGTGAAAAAGAATGGGGAGAACCAAACATTTGACCTTCAAACGACCAGCGCCACTTCTGACCATGACTGCGATGACTTTGGTATGTTTGCTCTCGTTTCTCTTTGGGCACAGTGATACATTCCAACCGAAGCTCTACACTGTGTATGTATATAGGGTATTGTGTTCTTCGGTGTATACTGCCCTGAAATTACTGCTTTTTTTTTTTTTTTTTTTTTTTTTAAGATAGTATGGTGACACACTCCTGTCATTCCAGTACTCTGGAAGGCTGAGGCAGGTGGATCGCAAGTTCGAGCCCAACCTGGGGAATTTAGTGACTTAGAAATGAAAAATAAGAAAGGGCTGGGAATGTAGCTCAGTGTAAAAGCCCTGGATTCAATCTCCACTACCACACAGAAAAAAATTCCTGCCTTTTTTACTACTGAAGTTACTGTGATGCTGACAGGGCACATTCTACCCTCCCAAATCTATAGTGAAATACCCTACAAATTATTATATTAAATCTTTTTCTTCCCAATAGTAAAAAGCAGCTTGCTTTCAAGGAGGAAATGGCGTATTTCATTGACTGCCCATTGCTGTAGAGGGTGCTGGCAGACCTGTTCTACATCAGCTCTTTGCCCACACCATAATCTGCTTCATATGCCACACTTCCCCGCAAAATATGTCAGCGTTCATTTACAGCCATTTCTAAATAATGTGGATGAGTACAAGTTACTAAAACCTGTTATATACAAGTCTTTAAATTTTACCTAGTCCTTGTAAACTACACACTATGAAACTTCTGCACAAATTATCTCTTGATTATAAAATTTGAGCTCAAGATTACTTCTGTCGAAAACAGCACCAAACTGGGCGTGATGGCAAGTGTCTGTAATCCTAGCTACTCCAGGAAAAGGTAGGAAGATTCCCAGATCAAGGCCAGCCTCAGCAATTTAATGAGACCCTGTTTTAAAATAAAATTTTAAAAAGGCCAAGGGAGCCAGGCATGGTGACACATGCCAGGACTTTGGGAGACTGAAGCAGCAGGATCACAAGCTCAAGCCTATCCTGAACAATTTAGCAACTTAGCAAAACTTTGCCTCAAAAGAAAAGAGGTCTGGGGATGTAGCCTGGTAGTAGAGCACTTGCCTAACACAAGCACCTGGCTTTAAGCCCTAATAACACACACGCATTCACATATATACAAAGTACCATACTGAACATAAATGTACCTGTACCTCATTCTAACCACTGCCTTCCTGGTTCTTACTGAACTCATTTCTTGAAACTTTGCTTATCCTTTTTGGTATAAAGAAAGGGAGAATTTAAGATATAGGTGGCAGCTTTTCCCAGCTAGGAAAAGGTCACTTAGCATAGCTTCAGTTCCTTCTCAGCCCTTTGTTATCAGAAGTCACCTGGCTGGACATGGTGGTACAGGCTTGTAATCCCAGCACTCTAACAAGGGACAGGAACATTGTAGGCACTAGCCTGGCCTGAGCAGCTTAGTGACTCAGCAAACCCCATCTTAATATTTTCTTTTTTTTAAAGGAAAAGAGGAGTTGAGGATACAGCTTAGAGCAAAGGCCCTGGGTTTAATCCCTAGTATTCAAACCACAAAAACTCGCCTATTTCCCCTAAATAAGGTATCCTACTAATTGTCATTGCTAGACTATTTGTGTATTCTGGAGTTCTGGAACTGCATGACCTGCTATGGACTGTTTTACTCCTAAATCAAAAAGATCCTCTGAAGTGTCTCTACTTAATTGTTAATCTTCTTGTGATTAGATTTTAGCCCTTTCCTAGCAGTACATTTTTGGAATTGAGTTGAATTTGTAAATTTAATAATCATTCAATTTTAAAGCTCCTTCTATATTGATTTCCATAATGGTAGGAATTTCTCAGAAACTAAAAATAGAATTCCATTTACCCAGCTACTCCTCTTATATTCCTAGAAGAGTTGAAGATATTATATTATGCTGATACCCATGTCCATGTTTAGAGCAACTCAGCTGCTACGTCTCGGAAGCAGCCTTTATGTCCATCAGCAAAGGAATAAAGAAAATGTGGTGTTTATACACAGTGGAGTACTACTCTACTGTAAAGGTTAATTTGAATCATTTGTAGGAAAATGAATATACCCTGAAAACAAAGTTAAGTGAAATAAATCATACAAGCTTAAATACTGTATGATTTCTCTTATATAGGTATAAATAAAAAGAACAAAGTAAAATATAGATAAAGATAAAACAATGGGATGAATCTACTGCAAATGGAAAGAAAGGAGACGAGATGAGAGAGTGGAAGGAGTGGGAAAGGGTGTAAATGAACATATAGAGCAAGGGTATAAAAGATGAAAGAAGAGGTGCCATGGACGTGAACCACAGACCCACAGTGAAAATAGTTATTATGTATCACAGACATGTACTAATAAATTATAATTTAAAAAGTAAAGCCCCTTCTAAAGACCTTGATGTATGTTAGGTTTTTAGAAACTTGAGGACAAATAAGACATTGATACTTTCCTTCAGGAATCCTGGTTTAGGGACATGCTATTGTACTTTATTACAGTTTGTATCATTTTCCTGCTGTGCTTTATTAGATCTTTGTTTATAAAACTGATACTATGCAAGACTATACAGTGATTCTATTCACTGAAATTGGTTCATCATAATAAAATTATATGGATGAGATACTAGATTAGAGATATTTTCAAAGTTAGCTGTAATACATAAAAACAATTTATATGATAACTTAATTGAATTCTCTATATTTTATTTTTGAATTCTCCATCTTTGTACTCACAGAACTGAAAACTAATATGCGAAGAAGATTGCCTAGGACTATAAAAGTAAACATCAGCTATAGTAATAATCAGCATAAACCACCAGCGATGCTCCCAGGTGACCAAGTAAATAGTATTGACAATGAAGGAGGCCATCACTTATCTAACGAGGTAAGCACTCAATCACTGTTTGTGGTTTGATGTTTACCAGTCTGGTTAGAACCCTGGAAAGGGTTCGGGATCAAATCATAAGACACAAGTTTTCTTTGATAAATAATTGTGTTATCATTCAGTACAAACTTTGAAACTAGAAAATAAAAAGGACTTGAGAGTCCTAGAACTTGCAGTTCCGGGTGAAGCGCAGATAGCTCTGCGTCAGCGTTCCCAAGCGGGCTGGAGGTGAGAGCTGGCACTGAGCAGGCAGTTGGTGAGGCACTACAACCCAGTGAAAGCGGTGTCGTGAGGAAGCCACGGTCGGAAAACAGATGCTTGTGACCGGAGCTGCGTGGCACAAACATGATAAGGACAGAACGGAATGCTTAGTGAAGGTGTGTGGTGTAGCTGTCACTTCCAGCTGGCCCAGTCAGAAGATGTTCCTGGGCAGCAGCTGGAACCCGGTGTACTGCATTCTCCTTGGAAGGCCTTTGGACTCCATTTTGAAATGCTCTTTCTCTGTGGCTTTTATTATCATTTTAACACCCTTTCATTAGCTTTGAAAATACAAGTAAATGTCTTGATACTTATTTTCCCGGACTTTGATTGGAAAAGTACTGACAAAAATAACAGAAGTTGGACCCAGTCCTAGCCCAGGTCCGGTGAGTGTGCGGAGAGTTTCCTGCTACCCTGCGCCGGCGGGACCAGTCCCAGCCCTGGCGCAGCATGGGCCGGACCCTCTCCCAGCCCCTCGGGCCGCCCCCCACCACTCTGCAGTGCCTCCCCCACCCC